GTAGCCCTGCAGTAGTTCTGTGTATAGCCTGCCTCCGCTCCCTAAGGTTGGAATGCTCTGTAGGTAGACCAGCACTTCCCAACCTGAATTCTCTATTCTCCAATGAAACTTCTAGCTTTCACTCTGAACTGGGTATAAGACTTCTATTGCCAACAGGATGATAAGAGGATATTAGAAGTGGAGATGGAAAAAAAAAGTGCTGATGGTTGCACAGCAATGTGACTGTAATTGTACCACAGAATGATATGCTTACATATGGTTAAAATGACACATCCTATGTTTCACTATATATATATATATTCATAAATGTATTTTACTTTTCTACAATTATACAAAGCAAGACTGTTCCCCACCACACCCCAGAACATCAAGCCAAGCCCACTACTGTTGAGTCCACTCTGACCCCTAGCCACACTATAGAACAGAGTAAGCTGCCCCAGGTGGGTTTCCGAGGCTGTAAATCCTGATGGGAGCATAAGGTCTCACCTTTCTCCAGCGCACCGGCTGGAGGGTTTCAATTGTTGGTCTGCCAGTTAGCAGCCGAATGTGTAACCCACTAGGCCATCTGGGTTCCTTGCCCCAAAAAAGGTCACTTGTTCTTCTTTAGAAGAGTGGGAGGGAGGGAAAACATAAGGACAGAAAAGTTTTAAGTCATCTAACTTCAACAAATAATATGATTCCTTCACAGGGATTGGCTAAGTACAATCTATTGGTCAGAGCTGGTCTTCACACCTCTTTCTGTGAATAAACTTTATTAGAATAAACCCACTGACACTGAATTCATTCAGACTCATAGCAACCCTATAGACAGAGTAGAACCGCCACTGTGGTTTTCTGAGACTGGACATCTTTATGAGACAGACTCGACTCTCTCCCAAGAAGCAGTTCTTAGGTTCCAACTGCTGACCTAGCAGTTGGCAGCCCAGAGAATAACCCACTCAGCCACCAGGGTTTATTGGGATAAAACCACACTCATTTGTTACATATTGGCTGTGGCGCATTTTGCTACAAATGCAAAGTTGAGAGGTTATGACTGGCTGTGTGACCACAAAGCCCATAGTTTGTAGCAGTCTGGCCCTTTGCAGAAAATGTTTGCCGAACTCTGGTCTCTATCTTTGGTTCTGAAGTGATCAAAGAATCAGTTCCTGGCCCTTTTTTTCTACGGGTTATGATTTTTCCCCAGGGGCTCCTTGTCCCATGTCAGGGCTGAGAGAGGATGTATTTTCCAATGGGTAACTGTAACAGGCCTTACAGCTCTTCCATAAGGCATGCACATCGTACAGCTAACATATTACAAGCTGATGGGCAATATCATAAGCAAATAACAGAACGGACCAGCAATGAGGTAAGTCATCATCTTGACCTAGTGCTAGACCTTGAACACCCCCTAAATCCAACCCAAGGGGTTGCTACATTTACGATGGGTTGGTTATTGAACCTGATTGCTTTTAGTTACAGAAAACCTTTAGGCATTGTGAAGTAGCCAGACACAGAAATAATTCATCTTATATGATAGCTCCTTTATTGGGGATTATTGGTATTGGTATTTATATGGTAGCTTCTTTTATTGGGGATTATTGGACAGACTGTGTTCAGTCATGAGAATGTATATATAAACTAATTAAAATGATCTTTTTAAAAAACTTTTATTAAAAGATCATTTTATTGGGGCTCTTATAACAATCCATACATCAATTTTGTCAAGCATATTTGTGTATGTGTTGCCATCATTATTTTCTATACATTTAACTTTCTATTGAGTGTATCAGCTCCTCTTCCCCCCGGTGACCCCTTGATAAATTATAAATTATTATTTTCATATCTTACACCGACTGCTGTCCCCCTTCCCTCACGGTTTCTGTTGTTCGTCTGGCAGTGGGGGGGGGGCCCCCGCAGAGGGAGTAGTGGTAATGTGCGGATCATTGTGATCGGTTCTCCCTTCCTCCCCTACTGGCCCCACCTTCCCCCTGACCTCTGGTATCACTACTCCTGTCCCTGTTCCTGGATTCTGTGTGTCCTGAGCTCCTCTCTTACCTGTACCTGTGCACATGCTCCAGTCTGGCCCGCAGAGAAAGGCAGGACGGGGGTCGTGATGGTGGGGGATGAGGAAGCCTCAAGGAACCAAATGAATATTGTGTTTCATTGGTGATATACTGTGCATGGGTTGACTCATCACTTCCTGGTGACCCTTCTGTGAGGGAATGTCCAATTGTCTACAGATGGGTTTTGGATCTCTGCTCCAACCCTGCTTATTCTCAACAATGTTTTTTGTTTGTTTGTTTGGGGTCTTCTAATGCCTATTACCCAATGCTTCTTCCATGCGGGCTTGTTGCTTCTCTGCTAGATGGCTGCTTGTTTAACTTCAGGTCTTTAAGACCCCAGATGCTGTATCTTTTGAGAGCCAGGCACACCTGCTTTCTTCACATTTGCTTATGTACCCATTTGGTCTTCAGTGATCATATCAGGAGGGTGAGCATCACAGAATGCCAGGTTGTTGGAACAAAGTGTTCTTGCCTTGAGAGAGGGCTTGAACAGAGGCCCAAAGTCCATCCACTACCTCAGTGTATTGCCATATAAATATATGTACATAGGCCAATACTTCTATTTTTATGAATTAGTGTATTTACATATGTACACACCTATGTGTTTGCACCTATGGAAAGCTCTATCCATAGTTTGCTTCCGAGGTCTTCCCTCTGTTTCCTCCTGCCCCACCATCATGCTCACCCTTCTTCTTCCTCTTAGTAATTCCTCTCAGCTAGATTGCTGTTCCCCCAGCACCACCTGAATCTCTACGTGCTCCTTGTTGATTTTAACTCCCTATTTGCTCACCACTCCCTTCCCCTGCCTCCTGCTCCCCCCAAGTCCCTCTGGAACATCAATCTGTTGCTTTCACTTCTAGCTTGCTTCCCATGCCTATCTTATAAAGGTAGGTAAAACCAACAGTAA